CGCTGATCTCCGCGGAGTCTACGTCTTCTACCCAAGATGAGTTTGGACGGCTCTTCGGGCGGTAAATTCCCATCAGCTTTTTCTCTCTTCTTTGGTTATACTACATGCTTTGTTTTTCTTCAAAGTGTGTCAAAGTTTACAGCACAAACACAATTAGTGGTACAGATTGTTGGAGCAGCAGCTGTTTTTTACTGATAAATTGTGTTATGGCGTATGGGGTGCTTTGAAATTGAACTCTTGAATTTCAAATGTAAGATGGCAGCCATGGGTCCCATACAAGGGTCATCTACCTAAAGTTTTGCCGTGTTTTTTTGTTTGTTTTGTTTTGGTTGTTGTTGTTGTTTTTGTTTGTTTGTTTTTGAGACAGTCTTGCTCTGTTGCCAGGCTGGAGCACAGTGGCGCAGTCTCGGCTCACTGCAACCTCCGCCTCCTGGGTTCAAGCCATTCTTCCGCCTCAGCCTCCCGCGTAGCTGGGACTACAGGCGCGTTCCAAATGCCCGGCTAATTTTTGTATTTTTAGTAGAGACGGGTTGTCACCATGTTGGCCAGGATATTGACCTCGTGATCTGCCCACCTCGGCCTCCCAAAGTGCTGGGATTACAGGCGTGAGCCACGGCACCCAGCCTCCCTAAAGTTTTAAAGTTGACACTTTAAGTGTAGAAAAGAATGTATGAACTACCTAATGCATCCTATTGAATTTTATTAAGATGTATTACTTTTCATTACAAAGTACCAGTTTCTCCTGTATCTTACTTAACCTTTTGGATTGTTTCATGAGTTTTACTTCTTTTGTTAATTTTCCTGCTCCTTATTGCTTCCTCTTTTGGTAATTTTGTACATTTTTTGTAAATTCTGTCTTTGGAAACTTAAGTCATTGATTATAGTTTTCTAATACGTACATTTAAGTGTTTATGTATCCAATTTAGTATGACTTCGGCTGTATGCCAAAGTAAAAACAGAGTAATAATAAACAAAACGAGGAGGTTAAAGCAGGAGGATTGATTGAACCCAGGAGTTCAAAGCCAGCCTGGGCAACGTTAGGTCATTACCTGTGCCATTAAAAAAAAAAAAATTAGGAAGGCACGGTGGTACATACCTAGTCCCAGCTGCTCCGAAGGCTGAGGTCCAAGAATTGCTTGAACCCTGTAGGCAGAGGTTGCAGTGAGCCGAGAACAGGCCACTGCACTCCAGCCTAGGCAACAGAGGGAGACTCTGTCTCAAAAATGAAGAAAAAAAGAAATATTTAATTGAAATATACTGTGCAGGCCAAAAGTAGCAAATATTTACACATGTTTAATGTCATTAGTGTTCACAAACTAACTACACTCATGGAACTCAGAGGGCATTTGGATAAAGAGAATTTAGTAGCACCCAGAGGCCTACGTTGGCCTCCTTCCAGTCTCTGACTGTTCCCTCAGTAGTCGATATCCTGCCTTTCAATCAGTATAGATTAGTTTTTCCTGTCGTGTACATGACAGCGATGAAATTATAAAATATTCTCCTGCAGTTAGTTCTGATTTTAACAATAAATTCTCTAATCTAGATAGTAAATATATTACACTGTGTGGATCCTAGACAGATTTGAGCCTCAGTGACTAATACTCCAATTGTGGATTGAAAAGAGCCATAGACAATACATAAGTGAATGAATGTGACTGGTGTTTCAGTAAAACTCTCTAAGTACAAAACAGGCAACTGTGGGATCTGGCCCATAGGCCTAGAGCTAACCCCCTGCTTTCATTTGTAATTTTATTATTGTGAGTAGCTATGAGGTCAGGCCTTAATTTCATCTTAGGAAAGGGAGGGAATCTATGTGCTAACACTGTTTGGAAGTCTTCTTTGGTCTGCTTATTACCAATTGTTGGAAACAGAAGTTTGGTGCTGCAAAGAAAAATCAGCACTGAAACAAAGGATCTCTAAGCAAGCAATGTTTACTTCCTGCACTGCAGGACGGGTACTCTCGCTATAGACAGCTTACCACAAGAGTACAAAGAAGAAAGGAAAAGCAGACAAATTTACCCCTTAGGCATTTGGGGTCGTCCTTACTGCTGTGTCTGATCTCCATCGGCTGGAGCCAGTCCTCACAATCTAAACTAAAACCCGATTGGCTAACAACTTAAACTTTTTTTAAACAGGCAGGGTGCGGTGGCTCAGCCTTTAATCCTAGCACTTTGGGAGGCCGAGGCAGGTGGATCACAAGGTCAAGATATTGAGACCATCCTGGCCAATGTGGTCTCTACTAAAAATACAAAAATTAGCCAGGTGTGGTGGCACACGCCTGTAATACCAGCTACTTAGGGGGCTGAGGCAGGAGAATCACTTGAACCTGGAAGGTGGAGGTTGCAGTGAGCCGGGATCAGGCCACTGCACTCTACCTTGGAGACAGAGTGAGATTCGATCACAGCACAAAAAAAATTTTTTTTTTGCAAAGTCTTGCTCTTTTGCCAAGCTGGAGTGCAGTGGCACGATCTCGACATACTGCAACCTCCGTCTCCCAGATTCAAGCAATTCCCCTGCCTCAGCCTCCTGAGTAGTTTGGGACTACAGGCCCGCACCACCACACCAAACTAATTTTTTATATTTTAGTAGAGATGGGGTTTCACCATGGCTGGGATGGTCTCGATATCCTGACCTCGTGGTCCGCCTGCCTCGGCCTCCCAAAGTGCTAGGATTACAGGTGTGAGCCACCAGGCAGGGCAAAAAAAAAAAAAAAAATTTTTTTAAACAGGTAAGGGACATCAGCTGCAAGCTGGGACATGCCTGTGAGCACGTCCAGCACAGATATCTTAGTTAAAGTATAAGGACATAGAATGTATTACGTGCCTGTAAGCATGGCATGTCTAACAGCTACGTAGGATAGGGCTTAAAAAGTTATTAGCAAATTTTATTCTTTTTTTTTTTTTTTTGCATTTTAGGTTTTGGGGTACATGTGAAGAACATGCAAGATTGTTGCATAGGTACACACATGGCAGCATGTTTGCTGCCTTCCTCCCCTTCACCTATATCTGGCATTTCTCCCCATGCTATCTCTCTCCAACTCCCCACCCTCCCACTGTCCCTCCCCTATTTCCCCCAACATACCCCAGTGTGTGATGCTCCCCTCCCTGTGTCCATGTGTTCTCATTGTTCAACATCCACCTATGAGTGAGAACATGCGGTGTTTGATTTTCTGTTCTTGTGTCAGTTTGCTGAGAATGATGGTTTCCAGGTTCATCCATGTCCGTACAAAGGACATGAACTCATCATTTTTGATTGCTGCATAATATTCCATGGTGTATATGTGCCACATTTTCCCTGTCCAGTTTATCATCGATGGGCATTTGGGTTGGTTCCAGGTCTTTGCTATTATAAACAGTATTGCAATGAACATTCGTGTGCATGTGTCCTTATAGTAGAACGATTTATAATCCTTTGGATATATACCCAGTAATGGGATTGCTGGGTCAAATGGAATTTCTATTTCTAGGTCCTTGAGGAATCGCCACACTGTCTTCCACAATGGTTGAACTAATTTACACTCCCACCAACAGTGTAAAAGTGTTCCTATTTCTCCACATCCTTTCCAGCATCTGTTGTCTCCAGATTTTTTGATGATCGCCATTCTAACTGGTTTGAGATGGTATCTCAATGTAGTTTTGATTTGCATTTCTCTAGTGACCAGTGATGATGAGCATTTTTTCATATGTTCGTTGGCCTCATGTATGTCTTCTTTTATAAAGTGTCTGTTCATATCCTTCACCCATTTTTGAATGGGCTTGTTTTTTTCTTGTAAATCTGTTTTAGTTCTTCGCAAATTCTGGATATCAGCCCTTTGTCAGATGGGTAAACTGCAAAAATTTGTTCCCATTCTGTTGGTTGCCAATTCATTCTAATGACTGTTTCTTTTGCTGTGCAGAAGCTGTGGAGTTTGATTAGGTCCCATTTGTCTATTTTGGCTTTTGTTGCCAATACTTTTGGTGTTTTGGTCATGAAGTCCTTGCCTACTCCTATGTCCTGAATGGTTTTGCCTAGATTTTCTTCTAAGGTTTTTATGATGTTGGGTCTTATGTTTAAGTCTTTAATCCATCTGGAGTTAATTTTAGTGCAAGGTGTCAGGAAGGGGTCCAGTTTCTGCTTTCTGCATATGGCTAGCCAGTTTTCCCAACACCATTTATTAAACAGGGAATCCTTTCCCCATTGCTTGTTTTTGTCAGGTTTGTCAAAGATCGGTTGGTTGTAGATAAGTTGTGTTGCCTCCGAGGCCTCTGTTCTGTTCTATTGGTCTATATCTCTGTTTTGGTACCAGTACTATGCTGTTTTGATTGCTATAGCCTTGTAGTATAGTTTGAAGTCTGGTAGTGTGATGCCTCCCACTTTGTTCTTTTTGCTTAGAATTGACTTGACTATTTGGGTTCTCTTTTGGTTCCATATGAAGTTTAAGGTATTTTTTTCCAGTTCTGTGAAGAAGGTCATTGGTAGCTTGATGGGGATAGCATTGAATCTGTAAATTACTTTGGGCAGTATGGCCATTTTCACTATATTGATTCTTCCTAACCATGAACATGGAATTTTTCTCCATCTGTTTGTGTCTTCTCTTATTTTGTTCAGCGGTGGCTTGTAGTTCTCCTTGAAGAGGTCCTTTACATTCCTTGTTAGTTGTATTCCTAGGTATTTTATTCTCTTTGTAGCAATTGTGAATGGCAGTTCATTCTTGATGTGGCTCTCTTTAAGTCTGTTGTTGGTGTATAGGAATGCTTGTGATTTTTGCACATTGATTTTGTATCCTGAGACTTTGCTGAAGTTGCTTATCAGTTTCAGGAGATTTTGGGCTGAGACGATGGGGTCTTCTAGATATACAATCATGTCATCTGCAAATAGAGACAATTTGACTTCCTCCTTTTTTATTTGAATACCCTTTATTTCTTTTTCTTGGCTGATTGCTCTGGCTAGCAAATTTATTCTTTAACAAGAAAGACAACTTTAAAGAGGAACTTTTCTACTTCCCACACCAATATTCTCCAATGCTCTTCTCTCTGCTTACACTTTTGTCAGGTTTCCCAGCTGAAAAGAATCATCATAACGAAGAAAGACAAAGAAAGGAGAAGAGAAAAGCAAAACACCGACACAAATTTTCTGAAGAATTATTGCAGGCACTTAAGGAAATATTTGGAGAAAACCCTTATCCAGATTTCAGCACAAGAAAAACATTGGCCAACAAATTTTATTGTCCAGTAAATGTCATTAACGTAAGTTCAAGACCTCATATGTATATTTCATGTATATATATATTTTTAGACAGAGTCTCACTCTCATCACCCAGGCTGATATACAGTGGCACAATCACATCATGGCTCACTGTAGCCTCCACTTCCTGTACTCAGGTGATTCCCCCACCTCAGTCCCCTGCGTAGCTGGGACTACAGGCACACACCACCCTGCTGGGATTGGATATTTTGTAAAAAAGAGAAAAGGGGTCTCACCATGTTGCCCAGGCTAATCTTGAACACCTGGGGTCAAAAGAGCCACCTGCCTCAGCAATCCAAACTCCTGGGATCACAGGCATGAGTCACCGTGTGCAGCTGTTTCCTAGCAAATTAAAGGGCAGTAAGTACAGATGGAGGTAGAATGCAGGGGACTGGATAGGAAGGTACAGAATTTAAAGAAATGGGAGAGAGCAATCAAAATATATATGTATATACAGTTAATCCTCCATGTCCACTGGGTCCACATGCACAGATTTAACTAACCACAAATGAAAAATATTTGGAAAGTTAAAAAATGAAAATAGGATGGGAGCTGTGCTTACAAATCCAGCCCTGATCACATCACTGCATTCCAGCCTGTGTAACAGTGAGACCCTGTCTCAGAAAAAGCCAGGGGGGTGGCGGTGAGGGGCACAAGTAACAATACAAAAATTTTTTAATGATACAAATTTTAAAACAACACAGAATAAGAAATATTTATGTAGAATTTGTGTTATGTTAGGTCTCAGGTTTTGTTTAGTTTTTGAGAGGGCGTCTCCCTCTATCACCAGGCTGGAGTGTGGTAGCACGATCTTGGCTCACTACAACCTCCACCTCCCGGGTTCAAGCAATTCTCCTGCCTCAGCCTCCTGAGTAGCTGGGACTACAGGGGAGTGCCTCCACACCCAGATAATTTGTGTATTTTCAGTAGAGACCTTGTTGGCCAGGATGGTGTTGATCTCTTGATCTTGTGATCCACCTGCCTTGGCCTCCCAAAGTGTTGGGATTACAGGCGTGAGCCACCACACCCAGCCAGGTATCAGGTATTGTAAGTCATCTCTTGACGGTTTAAAGCATATGCGAGAACACGCATAGTATACATGGAAATACTACACCGTTTTATATACATGAGGGCCTGGGACACCCTGAGACACTGGTATTCATAACCAATTTGAGAGAAAACTGTACACACACACAATATGAAGAATATGAAGAATTAGGCAGTATGTAGCATTTCATCACATAAGAAAATAGTATCAAGAAAATACCCGCTGTATTTTCACAAGTATATGTATTGTGAAAACTAGACTGCAGTGAGGCAAATTTGGAAGCAGTGGATGAGCTGATGCTGCTGTGGTTAGATGGTGGTGACAGTGGTTAGGGCCAGCTTGCTAGCTGTGCAGGTGGATAGGACTAATTAGACTGTAGATGTCCGAGATGGAACTGACAGAGTTTACTATGTGTGGAATATGCCGTGAAAGATAAGGTGGACTCAAAGGTTACTTGGATGTTCGACTTAAGTCCATGAAGACGAGAGTTGCCTTTTACTAAGGAGGAAACTTAGGGAGGGGCAGGTATGTCCGAAATCAAAATTTACATTTTGGACACAGGAAGTTACAAATGTCAGGTAAACATCCAAGTGGAAACACTAAGTGAACAGTCGAATGTGCAAGTCTGAAGGGCGGGGAGAGCACTTCCTTGAGATATAAATCTGATGGTTGTCTGCTAACGAGCTGACTGATGGGTGGTAGCCCCTGGTAGCTTCAGGATAAGAACTGGAAAGATCCAGGTAGGATTAGGAAGTTGGGACTTTGAACCCCACCCTCCAACTTCTGGAGAGGAGGTAGAGCTGAAGGTTAAGCTGATCACCAATAGACAATGGCTTAATCAGTCATGACTATATAATAAAGCCTCCAGAAAAAGAAAAGCCTGGGTGTGAGGAGGGTCCCGATAGTTGAATATGTGGAAGTTCCTTGAAGTGGTTTGTCCAGGGAGGGCAGGAAAGCTCTGCACCCCTTCCCTCACATCTCACCCTATGCATCTCTTTATAACCTTCGTAATATCCTTTCTAATAAACTGCTAAACCTAAGTATTTCACTTAGTTCTGTGAGCCACTCTGCTAAGTTAATCAAACCCAAAGAGGAGGTGAACAGGAACCCTGACCTGTAATGTCAGTCAAGTTTCAGAAGCCCAGACTTGCAACTGGCATCTGAAAGAGGGGCAGTCTTGCAGGACTGAACCCTGTGGGATCTGACATTATTTCCAGGTACAAAGTGTCAGAATTGAATTGGAGGACACCCAACTGAGGTGCACTGCAGAACTGTTTGCCTGGTGTGTAGAAAAACACATTTGCTCACACAGGTCTTTCTCTGTTGATTATTGTGTGAGAGCAGTGGAAAATGATTTGTTTTTTCCCTCAGAGTCATACAACAAATATATGGTCAAACAATTGCACCCTTTAATTGTGAACAATGCATGTAAAAATTAAGTGCATATAAGAAACAAGAAACGTGGGTGGGATGCAGTGGCTCACACCTGTAATCCCAGCACTTTGGGAGGCCGAGGCAGGCAGATCACTTGAGGTCAGGAGTTTGAGACCAGCCTGGCCAACATGGCAAAATCCCATCTCTACTAAAAATACAAAAAAATTAGCCAGGCATGGTGGCATGGTGGTGCACCTGTAATCCCAGCTACTCAGGAGGTCGAGACAGGAGAATGACTTGAACCTGGGAGGCGGAGGTTGCAGTGAGCTGAGAACATGTCATTGCACTGCAGCCTGGGTAACAAGGGTGAAACTCTGTCAGAAGGAAGAGAGAAAGAGAGAAAGGGAGAGAGGAAGGGAGAAAGGGAGAGAAAGAGAGAAAGGAAGAAAGAGAGAGGGAGACAGAGACAGAGAAAGAGAGGAAGGAAGGAGGGAGGGAAAGGAGAGAGAGGGAGGAAGGAAGGAGGGAGGGAAAGGAGAGAGAGGGAGGAAGAAAGGAAGGGAAGAAGGGAGGGAAGGAGGGAAAAAGGGAGTGAGAAAGAGAGAAACAGAAACGTGGGTGTCAGAAATACATCACTAATTCTCCTTGGTGGGAGAGTATGAGTAAAGTAGCAGGGTTCTGTGAACTATGCATGACTAGGTGGGACAGCTGGGAGCCTCTTTAGCAGAGTGGGTCTCTTAGTGAGCAAACAGGAGAACATTGCAAGTAAGTCAGAAACAGATTGGGAAGAGATTCTGGGAAGCCAAGGTCTACCTGTAAACCATGCTATCACTGTCTCCGGTGAAGGTCAGGGTTCTAGAAATGTGCAACGCATGGCCTGTGTTATCACATGGGCCTCCTGGGACAGATTACTTTTATTATTTATATGCTTTAATATCAGCAGGCAAGTCAGGGACTCTGCTTGGAAGTAGCTTACATAGAAAAATCCTCCTACATTAAGGAATGCATAGATAAGTAGATTCGATAGAACAGTATTATCTTTTCTCTCTAGAATTGGTTCCAGAATAAAAGAGCCAGACTTCCACCTGAAGAAAGACAAAGAATCTTTGTTCTTCAGAAAAACGGTGATTTCCTAGTAAAAGCCCATCCATTTTTAAGCTGCCAGGAGACCCAGGCTGCAGCTCCCAACTATGCCACCGAGCAGAGCTTCTCTGGTGCCCAGAGGGCTTTGATGGGTAGAGCTGGTTGCTCCCCTCTGGAGCAACAGGGGATTCCCCATCAACAGACAGGCTACAATTGCTTCTCTTTGGAGAACCAAGAGACTCCTAGTCAACAGGTGGGCCCTCAGTGCTCCTACCTGGAGAAACAAGGGATGGCCAGTCAACAGGTGGCCTCCCAGTGCTCCTATCTGGCCACAGGCACTGAAAAGCAACGGGACTGTGCTTTGGAGTATGGAGGAGATGCAGGAAGTGGGCATTCTACTGCCTATCACTTTCTAAGCTACAACTCTGAAATACCCGTTCATCCTCCTCCACCTTCTGTGCCATATTTTTATGGAGAAGGAACTGAAATCAGGGAAAGCCAGAATGCAAGTCCCTTCCTTTTGGATTATGCTCAAGGTGCATATGGGGTAAAGAGGCCTCAGGAAGAGTAGAAGACAGACCACTGTCGTTGCTTGTTCTGTCTCTCACTGCTGCAAGAACAGCAGCAGAATGAATCGCAGTATCACGCACAGCAGCATGATACTGAATCACCTACAGGGCATGATGTTCCAGCAACAGCTGCCGATGGACTTGGGTCCTTGAGATCTAGGGAAGCAGTGGCCCTCCGCTCAGTCACAGCTGCAGAGTCAACTGCCTCAGGTTAATGGAAAGCCCTTGTGCTCTCAGCTACAGCACATGCCTCCCCAAATAGCTGCTGGCTCATGCCTGCTGCCTCTAGGACAACATATGCAGGAAGAGGCTTCAGAGCAATCCAGGGCCCAAGTGCAGCAGTTTTAGGTTGAGGGGTCTACAAAGGCTTACCACAGGAAGCCAAGGACGCAGCTCTGCAAAGTATTGCTAAGTGTCACAGAACCACAGCCACCAGTCAGGGCCACAGTCACCCACACAGCAGACCAAAGCAAAGCCATCTCCAGAAGCCTCTGCATTAAAAGAAAACAAAAGGAGGCCAGCTGAGGTGAGATTGTTTAAGCCTAAGAGTTCTTTTTTTTTTTTTGAGACGGAGTTTCCCTCTTGTTACCCAGGCTGGAGTGCAATGGCAAGATCTCGGCTCACCGCAACCTCTGCCTCCTGGGTTCAGGCAATTCTCCTGCCTCAGCCTCCTGAGTAGCTGGGACTACAGGCGGGCGCCACCATGCCCAGCTAATTTTTTGTACTTTTAGTAAAGACGGGGTTTCACCATGCTGACTAGGATGGTCTCGATCTCTTGACCTCGTGGTCCACCCGCCTCGACCTCCCAAAGTGCTGGTATTACAGGCATGAGCCACCGTGCCCAGTCTAAGCCCAAGAGTTCATCACGAGAGCCTGGGCGACATGGTGAAACGTCATCTCTAAAAAAACACTTTTTAAAAAAATTAGCTGAGCGTGTGGTGAGCTCGACCCCCTTTCTACACACACACACAAATTTAAGCCAGGCACAATGGCATGTGCCTATAGTTCCATTTAATTGGGAGGCTGAAATGGAAGCATCACTTCAACATGGGAGGTGGAGGCTGCAGTGAACTGTGATCATTCCACTACACTGAGTGACTGAGTGACTGAGATCCTGCCTCAAAACAAAACTGTCAGGAAGGCTCCATGAGCTGTTGGTCCCTTCTCGCACAGAAGCAGTGGCCACATGTGTTATAGCTCCTGATCACATAGTTTAGTGTGACCTGAAAAAGCCTGACTCGAGTTCCGGTCCAGCAGAGAGCGGGGAGAGACGCAGAGGTCCGCGAGCTCCCCCTGGGCCCTCCAGGCCCTCCAGCCCCGGGCCGGCAGGTGAGCTGGGGTCCCCAGGACAGGCAGGGCCCTCTGCCCTTCAGACACCGGAGGCCTCCGCTGTGGCTGCCCACTGGCCTGCCCAGCCTCAGGCCTTGAAGCCGTGGTGAACCTTTCTACCCCACCCCTCTTGGGTGACTGATGGCGGCGGTGGCTTCTGCCAGCCCATACCCCAGCTTGGGCCCCGCTGGCCACTGGGTCTCCCGGCCCAAGTGTGCCGGGCCTCGACAAAGCCCCAGCTGAGCTGCTCAGATGCGACGCCTCTGGGTGGCGACGGGAGTGGCGGACCAGGAAACGTGGCAGCCACTCGAATGCTGCATAGCAGGGTCCGTTAGATCATGGAGGGCCTGGGAAGGTGGCCTAAGGACGCAGGCAGGCTGGGCCACATCTTTAGGCCATGGAGCCGTGCAGATCCGGGTCCCCAGTGACCACTCTGTCCTCACTGGGTGAGACCTACCTAGTCCTGACGACAACGGACAAAGGCCTTAACAGGCCTGGGAGGTGAGCGAGGTTCCCAACGACGACGGGTGGAACGGGGTTGGTCTTCATTCTACCAGACCTTGCTGTCGGAAGAGAGAAACGGTAGAATGACAGGCCATGTTTGGCCCGTTGGAAATGCCCACCACCCTCTGGGACGATTTGCTGGCCGTCTATGGAAGGCCTGTGTATATAATATGAAAAAGCTGCTCTCAAGTCCACCCCAACCGTTTAATAGAAAACATTTGTCACATCTAGCCCTTCTAGATGTAAAGAGGTTGCCGACGCATGATAAAGTCAGAAAACCACACATCTTGTAAATTCTCATTTGTTTGAAAGAAACCATAGAAAACACGTCTTCTGGAGATGACTTTTGGAAGCGGAATTGTTAGATGGCTATACGTCCACGTTTGTTCAGTGGGTTAGATGACATGGAGCTGGAAGACCTGAGAAGAAGGTTCTATGCCAGACTGGTCATATTTAGAAGACATTTTCATATTCTAGCCATTGTTTTGTGTGCATTTTATTCCTCACTACTGTATATATATTTGACAATGCTAAACTTTTTTGGAAACGTCTGTTTTTAGATGTTCTGAAGTGCCTGATGTTAAAATTAGAGGTAGTAAATATTTTGCTACAATTTGTAGGAAATGTTTTTTGCGGGGAATGGCCAAATCACCTGTTGAGTAATACTCACTGTGTGTGCAGTGGTTCAGGGGAAGAGGGGGAGGTGCAGACAGTTCCATGCCACCCTGCTTACAGCAAGGCAAGATGAATTATTATATCTCTGCATTTGGTTTTACTTACCTGTGCATGTAGTGTACATAAAGGACAAATGAGTCCTAACTTTAACACCATCTAGTCTTCCTAGATGTTAAAGAGGTTGCCAGTGTGTGACAGAAGTAGAGTTAGTAACCTAATGTGTTGTACATTTTGTTTTACAAGTTTAGGAAAGATTGTCTTCTGAAAATTTGAGCATTCTTGCCCACTGGGTTGATGGAGATGGGAAGGGTTCTAGGCCAGAATGTTCACATTTGGAAGGCTCTTTGAAATTATAACTGTTGTTACATGTTTGCAGTTTATTCAAGACTGCTGTGTACATAGTGGACAAATTAACTCCTTACTTGAAACATCTAGTCTATCTAGGTGTTTAGAAGTGCCCAATGTATGCTAAATGTAGAGGGAGTAAAATACCACTTTGTAAATACCTTTTTACTAAAATTCATAGGAAATACTTTTGGAAATTGAATTGTGAAGCCACCTTCGTGAGCAGTATAGTACTGTCTATACTTGTTCAATGGTTTAGAGGAGGTGGGAGGGAAGAAATTGCAAACAGTAAGATTCTAGTGTGTTCACACTTGGATATTTCAGACACTATTTTTCTATAGGTTTTGTGCATTTTCTTTTGCTCCATATATAGGGTATATAATGGACAATGAGTCCTAATTTTTCAACATCTAGTCTCTAGATGTTAAAGAGGTTGCCAGTGTATGACAAAGTATTTGGTAAAATCAGTATATTTTGTACCCTTTGTGATAAAATTCACAGGAAAACTTGTCTTCAATAAATGACTTTTGCATTGGAATTTGTTCAATCATCTCTAAGCATTACATGTACCTGTATTTGTCCACTGGATTGAAGGCAGAGAAGAGAGGAGGGAATGATTCAAGGCCAAAATGGTCACAATTAGAAGATGCCTCAGATGATAACCATTGTTATGTGTGTGCAATTTTAGTTAACAGTTCTGTGTACGTGGTGGACAAGTTATATGAAATATCTAAAATAAATATAAAAAATAACACTTTTTGTAAATAGTTTTTAAAAAGTGATGGGACTTGCTGGAGCATTCAAAGAATACACAGAAAAAAAAAAGTGACGGGAAATGCTGTTGAGAAGTGGAATCGTGGAACCACCTGGCAGGTGGGAGGGAAGAAGATGCAAAAGGTGTTTTGCCATTGTTTATTAGAAAATTTCAGCTTAATCCTATATGTTACATGCATTTCATTTAACTTTGCTATACTGTATATATTATGTATATACTGGACAAATCTAGTCTCTAGATATTAAAGAAGTTGCCAATGTGTGACAGAAGTAGAGTTAGTGAACTAACACATCCTGTACACTTCGTTAAAATTCATAGAAAGCCTGTCTTCTGAGAAAGACTTTCGGAAGTGAAGTAATGTTAGCTCTTAAGTGACACATGTGCCTGTATCCACCAGGTTGGTGGTGGCGAAGAGTTGGAAGGAATGAAGAGTTCTAGACCAGAATGTTTCTATTTAGAAGACACTTTCAGATATAACCATTCTTACTTGTGTGTAGTTTATTGAACACTACTGTGTATATAGTGGAGAAACTTAAGTCCTAATTTGAAACATCTGTCTTTCTAGATGTTTGGAAGTGTACAAAGAATGTTAAAAGTAGAGGTAGTAAATAAACACATTTTATAGCTGTCTTTTTGATATGTCATCTTTTGGAAATTGGTCAATTCTCTGAGCAGTACATTATGATATCTGCAGGTTCAGGGAGAAGGAAGAGCGTAAAGGGCTTTCCACCAGTGTGTTTATGATGAGGCACATTGATCATTGTCCCTATGTCTACATTTTCATTAACTGTGCTGTGTATATAGTGTATGTAAGTGGACATAAGAGTCCTAATTTACATCTAGTCAATGTTAAAGAGGTTGCCATTGTATGACAGAAGTAGTTACTAAATTCAATACATTGAGTATACCTTGTATTAAAAATCATAGGGAAGACTTCTTAAAAACAGAAGTGAAATTATAAAAACCCCCTTAAGCTGTCCATGGGGTTGGTGGAGGTTGGAAAGGGAAGTAGGTTATAGGCCAGAATGTTCCTATTTAGAAGACACTCAAATTACAGTCTGTGTTGTGTATACATTTATTCGATGCTACTGTGTATATAATGGAAAACTTAAGTCCAGTTGGAAATATCTAGTCTTTCTGGGTGTTTAAAAGTGCACAACAGGCGGGGCATAGTGGCTCACGCCTGTAATCCAAGCACACCCTGTAATCCAAGGCGGGCGGATCACCTGAGGTCGGGAGTTCAAGACCAGCCTGACAACATGGTGAAACCCCAACTTAAAAAATAATGATAAAAAATAAATTAAAAACATTTTTTAAAAAGTGCATCAACATAGGTTAAAAGTATAGGACTAAAGTAACACCGCTCTAAGCATTTGTTTTCATTACTTCCTTAGGAGTGGTTGGTTGCATTTGGGAATGGAATTGTTAAAATTTGATTCTTAGGAGCCTATGCTGACTATTCATTGGGTGGTGATGGGTGGGGGAGGAGGAGGTATGCAGGGAGAAGGGTTCTGTGCCCCTGAGATTAGTTTAGCTGGTCTAACCATTGTTCTCTATGTGCGTTATAAGGACACATGCACACGAATGTTCATTGCAGCACTGTTTACAATAGCAAAGCTCTGGAACCAACCCAAATGCCCATCGATGATAGACTGGACAGGGAAAATGTGGCACATATACACCATGGAATATTATGTAGCCATAATATGTAGCCAAAAACAAGTTCGTGTCCTTTGTAGGGACATGGATGAACCATCATTCTCATCAAACTGACACAAGAACAGAAAATCAAACACCGCATGTTCTCACTCATAGGTGGGTGTTGGACAATGAGAACACATGGACACTGGGAGGGGAGCATCAAACACTGGGGTCTGTTGGGGGGAAATAGGGGCGGGATAGCAGGGGGTGGGGAGTTGGGGACAGATATCATGGGGAGAAATGCCAGATATAGGTGATGGGAAGGAAGGCAGCAAGTCACACTGCCACGAGTGTACCTATGCAACAATCTTGCATGTTCTTCACATGTATCCCAAA